AGGCAGAGAGTGACAAGGGGACAGTATAGATACAAAACAATCTCCTCTGGCCATCACATGTGCATGCAAAGGACGCACATCCAAACACATGTGTGCACACACCACACATACATACGCCATACACACACACACACACACACACACACACACACATGCATACAAGTTAGCTAGTAGTTTTTTAATAAAAAATAATTTAAAGGGCAGGGGGGGGTGTAACTTAGGGGTAGAAGAGTTGTCTAATGTATACAAGGCAGTGGGCTCCATCCCTGGACTACAGTGTTGCAGGGAGGCTATGTAAGAACACTGTGGTCCATAAATGACATCTCACTGTCCAGACTAGTCTATGACTTACAAAGCTTGCTCACTGCTATCTTCACATGCAGAAGTGTGTAGCATCCACTCTTCTGCAGGTGTTTGGAAATCTCTCCCAATAGAAGCTTCTAGAAAGCATTTTCAAACAAAATGAAAGTGATAAAAATCACAGGCAAACTTTTGTGTGTGTGTGTGTGTTTGGAGAATCCTTCTAGTAAGCTTCTAAAAAAATATTTCCGAACAAAATGAAGGCAGTCGAGTTCCATGTAAACTTGTGTTTGTGTGTGTACACATTTCTGTGTGTGTGTGCACGTGTATGTGTGTGTATGCACAAATGCACATGTAGCAGGCAGAGGTCAATGTCAGGCATCTTTATCACTCTCACTATCTACTTTCTTGTTTTGTTTTTCGAGACAGGATTTCTCTGTGTAGCCCTGGCTGTCCTGGATCTCACTCTACAGACCAGGCTGGCCTCGAACTCACAGAGATCCACCTGACTCTGCCTCCTGAGTGCTGGAATTAAGGCGTGGGCCACCACTGCCTGGCTTCAACTTTACTTTTCTAAAGGTGGGTCTCTCACTAAACCTGGAGCTCAATGACTCAGCTAGCTTTGTTGACCAACAAGTCCCAGGCATCCTCCTGTCTCAGCCTCCTATGCACTGGCATTGCAGGCACACACTGAAGTCCCATCTAAACCACCTCTCCTGACCCAACAAGCATATTTTAGCAGAGGAGGAGGTCCGCTTTCCATGAAGCATCCGCGGCTCCCAGCACAAAGTGTTCTGGTCTCCTTGCTGTAAAATGCTGATAAAATTCCTGGTCACGGTCACTGGGTCTAGTATCTGTTTATCCAAAGTTGGCTGAATCCAGAGATGCAAATCAATAGATTAGGGGAGGTGTGTGTGTGTGTGTGTGTGTGTGTGTGTGTGTGTGTGTGTGACTCCAGTCCTCTGCTTTAGTCCCAGGACTCGGTATAATAGCTAGCTGCACAAAAACACTATCACACACAAACAAATTTACTTCCCAAGCCAGGCACAACATACATGCCTGTAATCCTAGCTACCTTAGAGGTTGAGGCAGAGGGATCACAAGACTGAGGCCAACCTGTGCCACACAAGTTCAAGACCAGCCTGGACACTTCAGTGAGACTCTATCTCAAATTTTAAAAGGTTTTAAAGGGAGTTGGAGAAGGAGCTCAGTGAGTAAGAAAGTCTGGTGTACAAGCCTAAGGACCTGGGTTTGAATCCCCAGCATCCATGTTCGGTTGCGTTCCAAAACGAGATCACAGATCACACAATACAGAATGTTCTGCAACTTCCAAAGCTTGTTTATTGCTATCTTCACACATGGAAGTGTGCAGAGTCTATATTTCTGTGGGTGTTTGGAGATCTCTCCCAATAGAAGCTTCTAGAAAGTAATAAAAGCACTAAAATCACAGGCAAACTGGCAATAGGACCTGGGACCTAGTTCTTGGCTTCCATAAGAGGGGGCAGAGACGGGGGGAGGCGGACAATAGAACATGTTTTAAGAAAGAAGATGGGAGTCACCCTGCGTGCTTCCAATGAAATTTGGAGAGTGAGGGTTTCAGTTTAAAAGACAGTTTTATTTTTTTAAGTGTGTGTGTGTGTGTGTGTGTGTGTGTGTGTGTGTGTGTGTGTGTGTGTGTGTGTGCAGTTTCCTCAGGGGCCAGAGGAGGGCCTCAGATGCCTTGGAGCTGGAGATAGAGGAGGTTTTGAGCCCCATTCCCTGGGCGCTGGGACCCCACCCCGAGTCTTTTGCAAGAGCATGAAGCCTGTATCTTAAAACCCTCTTACTGCTCTTGAAATGGCGTAAGGACCAAAACACGTGTCGTGGCGCCAGTACAGGTGTGAAGACTGGAGATACCGTCAAATGGGAACGCTAAACTCAGGAAGACGCGCAAACCAGGCGGTCAGTAACATTCATTTGGGTGCTTTGCTTTTCTCTAGGAATTCAAAAGCCTGTTGAGACTTAGCGCGAAGCCACCGGGGGAGGCCAGCGCGCCACCTGGCGGTAGATGGAAGCAGCGGGCGGGTCCCGGCACCGAGGGCTGAGGGACCCGGTGCCTCCTCCATCCCCACACCGGAGCCCTGGGATCCAGGTGGGTACCACGTCCCGGAGTGAATGGGAAGTCGCAGCCAAGGTGGCCTCGGGCCCCAAAGACCCGATGAAATGGCCTCTCCAGTGTCGCCAAGCGGCCAAACGGACTCACGGCCTTGGCAACTCTGGGAACTGTGGAACACAAAGCCAAGGCCGCCCAGGTGAGCCCAGCAACTTCGTGGAGGCTGAACCCCGAGTCTTGTGAGTCCGAGGAACCCCCTCTACGACTCCCGGATGCAGGTCGGTGCCACCTCCATCCGAAGCCCCGGGCTGAGGGGCAAAGGGCAAGAAAACCAGGATGGGAAGAGACGGAGGGGGCGCAACCCGAGACCACCAAAGCCGGGGCGCCTCGTTCCCAGCACCCCTCTAACACAAGTTGGCGCCCCGACCTCCTTAGGCCCGGGGTCCCCAGCACATGAACCCACCCCCTGAACCCAACCACAAGGTTTCTACCGTCGTGCGTTCTAGCCATCCGGAGTGCCCAGGCCTGCGTCCGTCCGCAGCACCCGGCCACTGTGCCTTGGAGACCACCCCACTGTCCCCCTATCTCGCTTTCAGTCTCCGCGCCCCCAGGCCTCGGGCTGCAAGCCCCATGTCCCTCCTTCCCAATCACTGGGCCACTATGCCTCATAGTCTCCGTTGGTGCGTCCCCAAGCCCGGAGCACTCAGCGTGGGGTCACACGCCTTGGAGCACTCACTGGCTCTTGTTCTCACGCTCCCATGTCCTGGGTCCCCCAACACCGGACCACCGCGCCTCAGAGTCCTCACTGTCCCTCGATCCAGCTCCTGCGCCCCCAGCACCCAGCTACCGCGCCCCAGGGTCCCCACTGTCCGGCGATCCAGCTCGGCGTAGCCCCAAACCCCACGCCTTGAGACCCCAACAACAGGCCACCCCTCCTCAGACCCCCCCTGTGGTCCCTCGATCCGGCCCTCGCGCCTTCGAGACTCTGTTCTCTCAACCCTCGACCACAGTTTCTCTGAGACCCTTAGTCTCTCGATCCAGTCCTTGGTCCCCTATCCCGCGCCCCCCAGCACCCGGCCCATGCGCCTCACAGCCCCTCGATGTCCCTGGAACCACCACTCCTCCGCGCGCGAGTCCCTGGCCCACTGTCCTGCGTCCCCAGTACCGGGCCACGGCTCTTCCGAGCCCCCGCTGTCCCTGGATCCAGCCATCGCTCCCCCCAGGCCCGGCCCCCGGCGTTACTCACCGGCGACTGGAGTAGCCGTTGCCGGGGGAGCCGGCGCCCTGCTCCGGGTAACCGTGCTGCTGCAAGGCTGCTGCCGGGAAGGGATAGAGGAAGCCGGTGGCCAGAGCCGACCCGCACAAGCAGCAGCAAGCCCATGGTAATAGCAAAACCAGCTTCATTTTGCACGGCTCGCCCGCGGGGACCCGGAGTCCCGGGAGCTGGGGACAATCAGGAGCGCCCCAGACGGCTGGACCGATCCTGCGGCCCCAGGCTGGAGCGCAGGGAGCCAGCCGGTGGTGGTGTGAAGTCAGGGTCTGAGGTGGAAGTCGTCTGGGGGGGGCGCCCACGCCTCTCCAGGGCCGCCTTTTCAAATTCAGCGAGGTGGGCTCTGCGCAGTCAAAGGGGGCGTGGGTCTTTCTTTTTAACCCTCAGAGGTCCAGGGCTGAGGAGGCGTCTACCAAGCTGGGGGTGCCCCGAGAGGTGTATGCTCCTGAACACCAAATCTTACATCCTTAACACACATTTTGCACTTTCCATACCAAGGTGAGAGACATTTCAGCCAGCACCCAGTTGGTCGAGCTGCATGAACAAAGATCGTTACAGTCTCCATTTTTCAGAACTGGAACCCGGGCCTTAAGGAAAGTTAAGCTAGGTAGATGGCTGTGTGGGTAAGAGTGTGTGCTACAGAAACTTGGGGAGTTGATTTCGAATCCCCAACATCCATGTAAAAGGCCTCCAACCCCATCCTCCAGCCCGGGGAGTGGGAGCCGGAAGATCCTGGGGGATGCCAGCTTCTGTCCTAGCTCCAGGTTTGGTGAGAGAAACCCTGTATAAAGGTAACAAAACTAAGAAGAACAGAGCATGGCACCCTATGTTGTTCCCCGGCCTCCACACACTTGTGCACACACACGTACATAACACACACACCTTCAGCCAAGCTAGTTGGGTGGCACACCCCTATAATCCCAAGACTCCACAGGCTGATTGTCAGTTTGGGGTCAGTCTAAGATGCATAGTGAGCCCCTGCGGTCAGCAATAACCAGAAAAACCAAATGGAGTTCTTTTTCTTATTGTAGCACCCACAGCACAGGACATTGGCAGCAGTGTGGGATTTTCCTGTCTTCTTCATTATCCTAGGAGCAGAGGGAAGGTTGGAAGACAATTGCTTTCAAACCCAGGGGAGGAGGGGGCTGTGACCTAACCATTTATTGGACTTAGCCAGTGTCCATGAAACACACTTCAGATTCCTTTGGGAGGAGGGATTGATTCCCCCTCCCGCCCCCATAAAGCAGGTTCTCCAAATCCATCAGACCTCGAGGGTGAAATGAATGGAGAGTGTAAGAAAGGACCCTAGGTCTAAGTCAGGCATCCCATGAGGGGGCTCTCCATTCTGTGATGACTAACCTGGCCTCCAAGACGCGTGAGGACAGAGCTGGGCTGATCGTGGTGGTGCATGCCTGTGATCCCAGCACCTAGGAGGCTGAAGCAGGAGGATTGACCAGACTGGGCTGGAGCAAGATGTGTTGACAGCCGAACAAAACAACTAAGCTGGGATTTGAAGGAACTCAGGGGACAGGATGCGCAGTTTCAGGAAGAAGGGAAAGAGGGCTGGGTGTGATATATTTGGGTACCTACCTAAGAAGGTACATATGTGTTGTGTATGTTATGTATGCATATATGGGTTATGTATCTATGGAGCTATAGGGGAGCAGATAACATGTCACCTGAGTGAGGCTGCCCACCACATGTTCCTAATAACAGTCCTGCAGCAAGATGGTGAGGTAGATGATGATTCCAGCCCCAAGCAATAGGAACAAGACGTTGAGTCCAGTGTGAGCTATAGCAAGACCCAATTTCAAAGGGAAGGGGTGCTGAAGATGTCGCTCCTGTGCAGAATCCCCCCAGCAAGGTGCTGGGGTGTGATAGAGCCCCTGCCTAGAATCCCCAATGGGGGGCTGGGGTGTGGCTCAGTGATAGAGCACCTGCCTAGAATCCCCAGTGGGGGGCTGGGGTGTGGCTCAGTGGTGGAGCCCCTGCCTAGAATCCCCCAGTGAGGGGCTGGGGTGTGGCTCAGTGGTAGAGCACCTGCCTAGAATCCCCCAGTGAGGGGCTGGAGTGTGACTCAGTGGTAGAGC